TAATATGGTTTTTTAAACAATTCCTTTATACAAGAAACATCTAATAATTTTTATATATAATGTTGATACAATTTTTATATGATAGTCAAAATACTCTACCAGTATTTACAACTTTTAAAAACCACTATTTTCATATTTATTTCTATATACAATTTTTATACATTTCTATACTTCTACTTCTTATTTTATTTTTTCAACTTTACATTTACTCTTATTCATTTTTGCCTTTTTAACCTGAATTTTTTACAGTCTGTATTATATACATATGTCTGTATTTTAACATGTTTGTATGTATAAAATGTAATTCATTGGCAATATGCCAGATGTGTGTTTAAATCACAGCTCAGCATCCAGCCTCCATCACGTCTCTGATGAAGTGGGGCTGACACCCACGAAACGCGTTAGACAGTAGTGAGCAGGATACGGACGCAGTTTTGAACCGGCAGAAGGAACTCTCTCTCTCTACCGAAAAAGCATCCACAATCTGGGGACCGATTGGCCGACAACACCTACCACCCAGAGTGAGGTCTGGGATGCACGCCAACCCCATCGGCAGCTGGCAAGTACAGAAACTTATTTTGATACAAAGTATCCATATCAATCCTAGCCGGTCTTTGTGGCTATTTGAGAAAAAAAGACTACCCTTCTGCTGGCAATTCTCTTGCAAACCGTTCCTGACTCATATTTTTAAAATTCCCAGTATTTTTATAACTTTATAAATTGTGAATAAATTTCACATTAGTTTTTAACTATTTCTATTTCTGCTTTTCTTTTTAAATAGTGTTTTTTTCTAATGAATAATTTTTTAAGTTTTTTATTTTTTCATATATTTCTCACTGCACTTTAGAATACAGTACCAAGCAAAATATATATTTTTAACCTGTATGACTAATAGAAATATTCTTGGTGCACCACTTAGTCAGTCTATCTGTAGCAGATTTAAAGAAATATTCATTTTAAATAGTTGTGTCATTATATTGATTTGTGACATCAACCCAAGTACAATATAGAAAACAGCTCTCTATGCTGTTATTCTATGCCACGTAGCCGCTTCTGCTAAATAGATTATTTGGTATATACCATACTTAATCTGCCTCTAGCAGATTTAAAGTCGTATACACCATACATATTGTTACATCACTCTTCTAAAACATCTGAACTTCTTCTTTGTACCCTATTTGGCATAACTATATATATAACAGCCATTTGTGGGTGAAATAGCTCCTGGATATATTACACCAAATTAAGGTGTTACCCCTTTCAAATTACATTTTCTCAGTCAGGTATTGGGTGAATTCCTGTCTTTTTCCAGTTCTTGAGCAACCCACTACAAGTCAGACTCCCTCAGGTCTGTGTGTTGCATTGGGCATACCTGGATCTACAAAATTTCAGATAAGTTGATTATTGTTTCTTCATCTTCTGGGGGAGTTTATTTATCCATATTGCTGGCAAAGTCCTGCTTCTTATGGCCACCCCTTCGGATTCTTCCAATGTTTCTCCGCTGAACAATCCCCCGTAAGGGGGAGTTTCTTCTAAACAAAATACAGTGAACTGTTACTGGATCGATTTTCTTGTGAAGAATTAAACCTAATGTTGGATTGGAAGTTACTTTTCTATTTTGATTTGCTCTTTTTTCTTAATAGTTGATCTTTGTAGAAATTCCAGATTTAATAATATCCAGACCATGGAACATTTATTCAAAATTCCTTCAAGCCTTGTACGATATTCAATATTATCCTTCAATGAAATAGGTTGTGCTTACATACACATCCCCCTTGGTATACATTTCATTTAATCGTAGTCAGCCAATGTGACACTGCAATGTAAAGCTCATATTTTTTCTCTTTAAGGTTTTTACCAACTCTTTACTTATAGTTTCCCCACTAGGTGTATTAAAAAGTTCAAAATTACTTTCTGCAGCAGATAAAATCCGCCTCGTTCCTTCATCCAAATAGACATAAAAGCTTGTGCTGGGTTGGATCATGGGTTCCATTTTGCCAAACAATTGGTAAACTGAATCAAATTATAGAATTGCACTAAAAATATTTGCAGTCAAATAGCCATAAATGTAGCCAATACAAAAATTGTTAGGGAGGTGCAAATTTCCAATGGTGCTCACAATTCAGAAGTAGTTATGGTAGGGTGTGGAACTGCACTCTATCCCTTTAAGCAGTATGTAGCTGGGTGCAACTTGGACAGTCTCAGTACCAGAGACCAAATGCTGACTAACAAATAGAAGAAAAGTCCAGGCACTCCAAGGTACAAGCAAGTCAATTTTATTGAAAAAATTGAAAAATATTGAATGCTGGCAGAGTGATGTGTTTCAACAACTTGGAGGTCTCTACCTACTAACCCTTACAGTAATGTGATGTGTGTATATATATATATATGGGAAAAGAGGAAATGGGGGGAGATAGGAAAGCTCCCTAATGACTTGTATAATGATACTTATGCAGAGTAATCAGCTGACTACTGTCTTTATTAAATTCTGACTAATAGCATAATTTACCAATTAAGAGTCTCCCTTTATCAGTGGCTAGTTGCCTTACTAATAGCTAAGTACTTATTGCTATGGTCAATTCGCCAGCGGCAAACAGAAAATCCCATAAATCCACATTGACAGCAAAAGAAAAAGCAAACGGTAAAGAGCCAAAGTGTGGCTAAATACAATGTTACAATCATTAACAGTGATGCAAATAAAGTAACTACTTCTTGTGAGTCATATCCAGAAGGAGATATAAATTAGGGAACTGGAAAATCAAGCTCATTTTGTGTCCATATGAGAGAAAAGCTATACACTGGTCCCTAATATCCTCCAAACACCTTGAAGGGTGTTCTAATCTGTGGCTCAATCTAAGAAGAACAGAAAACAAAAGCTGCCTAATGTGCCATCACATTAGCTGTATGGACGGCACTGTATAAAGTAAAAAAGAAAAGAAAATATATTAACCTATAAGGGTCTAAGTACCCATAGTGGTAAGATGTGTCCCTAAAGTGAGCAAATAAGTGATAGGGAGAAAATAATAAAAACGAGCTAGCGCACGACGCGCGTTTCGGTGTGTTAGAACACCTTCGTCAGGGGCTAAGAGTTATCTCGCAAAAAAGCCGGGACTTTTAAACCCCCCTGTAGCCAATCAGGTGTTAATTCCCTCCTTTGTCATTAAGTCACGTGTCCGGAATACCTTAGCGTCATTCGTGACGTATCGCCCCATGTGACCAGCAGTAGGCGGGGTGAAGAAGGGGCGGGACTCCTGGATAAACGTCATTGGATTGACAGGTTAAATTTGAGTACCCCTACGTCACTAATGACGTGTCGCCCCACATGGCTGCCCATGGGTGGAGGGAGTGAATAAAAATCTTTCCGGTGAACGTCATTTGATTGACGGATTTAAATTTAAATGTTCGCCGATCACAGGCTGAATAACATCCATTACGTGAAATATTAATATAATGTTTAGACACTGCTCATCCTGTAATTTATAAATCCATTGATTGTATATTGAATTTGCTAGTAGAAGTATGATTGACAGTGTATATATAATATAATTTAAGCTTTTTATTATTAGCTGTAAAGTACACTGTTTTTCTTCTTCTACTATAATTGCTTCAAAAAGGAAAAATAGGCAGAAAATAAGAAATTATAAAACAGGAGAATATAACCCTAATCTGCAAATGCCATCCTACTTAAGGGATGCAGTTACTTTAAAGTGAAGATTACTTCTATTCATATCAAATATATAAAAGTTATTTAGAAAGGGTCACATTAATATTGAGCAGTGTTAATTATTATAAGTGGATGATATTCTTACATCAGTGGTTTTTAAGAAGTTTGGCACAGGGTTTGAAATATCTACATATAGGAGTGGTTAAATAGATTATTTACAGTGAATTATTTACAGTGCTGATGAAAGCATTTTTACAAGTTGTAGTTCTTTATGTATAGAGATCATGTAATGAAGGGGGTATAAGTGAATCCTTCATTCAATCCTTTGGGTGACAGGGTTTTCAGTCGGTAAATCCAATAACACTCTCTTTTCCTAATGTGTTGGTCCCAGTCTCCCTTCCTTTGGTCCTGTCTAATTAGTTCTATTCCCTGAAATCTCAAAACTGTGGGGTCTCCATTATGTACATTTTTTATCAAGAAAGATTCTAAAACCTTTACTGATAGTACCAAAAATCAGCATTTTGACACATGCTCCTTTTTCAATTGTAGCTCCAAAGGCTTAGTGTACTTGATTACCTGTCAATGCCCAATGTCTTATGTGGGAAAAACCTTCCGTCCCTTCAGAAGAAGAATCCTTGAACATATCAACTCTGTTAAAACTATCAGACATATAGAGACTCCAATTTCTAGACACGTAAAAAATGTACATAATGGAGACCCCACAGTTCTGAGATTTCAGGGAATAGAACTAATTAGACAGGACCAAAGGAAGGGAGACTGGGACCAACACATTAGGAAAAGAGAGTGTTATTGGATTTACCGACTGAAAACCCTGTCACCCAAAGGATTGAATGAAGGATTCACTTATACCCCCTTCATTACATGATCTCTATACATAAAGAACTACAACTTGTAAAAATGCTTTCATCAGCACTGTAAATAATGTGGGGATATTTATGGGATAATAATAGTAAACAGTTGAGAATTGCCCACTAATTCAATTCTCAGATCCCAAAGAACGTTTATCGTGTTAAGTGAGAAGTATATCATATAAATAATAAAATAAAATTCACAATTTTATAAAAATATATTTTATTTTTAATAACAAATTAATTAATAATAACATGTAACATGCGTGATAATAATCAATGAATATTCAGTATAAAATGGTATGCAATACAAAGGAATGGGTATTACGTTTCAATGGCTAAATAGCATTTTCTGTCAAGAATTTATTTATGACTATGTTTCACAGAGAGAAAAAGTTTCACTCAGAGAACAGAATTCCTCAGAGTGCAGCGTAAGGTCGTAAAGTTTAGCTGACAGTTAGAATAACCCTTTCAATGCTGGCTAGATCTCCTAGGTAATCAAGATCTATTCTTATGTAATTTTTAAATAAAATAACATTTAAACCAGTTCATTAGTCATTTCCTGGAACCATCCAATAAGAGAATCTACCATATTTTATGAGCAGAATTTGTTTTTAATTTGTCTAAAAGATATCTTATCTTAATTTAGAGCAAATCAATACACCTGGATAAAAACAGCGGTATGCTAACACGTGATAATATCACCGTAATATATAATTATTCTTAATTCCACCTGCAGAATGGAATGTTTATAACTATATATTCTTAGTTAACTAAGATTTCTTAATATGGAAATCTGACCGTGCTTTATCCAGTCATATATAATGCTATTAATACATTTTAATTAATTTAATTTAATTAAATGAAACCAGTATAATTACCAGTTGAGTAGATATTTCATCCGATTGGTAGTCTCAGGAACTTATTTGGATGTCTCTCTGCATGGAGGTTGGAGTCCCCAAACTTCCAATTCCTCTCTCCTCTTTTTCTTTCTCCTTTGCATCTCTTGCATACCCTGCATATCTCTATCTTCCCTTTGTCTTAACTTTTAAAGGGCCAGACTCTCTGTACGTCATCAGTTGATAACCCAATAGAAGCACTAGAGGTGTGGTTATCTTCCAGATCGCAATTTAGTTATTTGGTCTATAGAGGGCAGTCTTGTCCCACTAAACATACCTATCCAGGAAAGAGTTAACTTTTCCTGGTGGCTATTTTGACGTCATTTTGCGTTATCCTTATAGTGCCATAACTTAAAATTTCAAAGGGTTCTTTAAGTTTTGTCCAGACTATGTGTCTGGCAAATCTGAGTTTTGACCCGTAACTTACAATGGGACCTTATATGTATGGACAGTTAAAATTTATTATTTAATCTTCTCTGTCACAATTGTCTGGGTTTAGAATTGATTATATTCTTCTTATCACTTGTTTATACTATGCATTCCTTTTAGCTCTGACAAAGTGGCTAGTCTTACAGAAAGAAATCTTGTCTTTTTTTGTTAACTTGGAATAACAAAATGGAGTCTGGTCTGTTCAGAGTGACTCAGAATATACACTTTTAGTTTCTATCATAGCACAAAATGTCTGCCGATATAAATACTCTGACAATAATTCACTGTAAATAATCTATTTAACCACTCCTATATGTAGATATTTCAAACCCTGTGCCAAACTTCTTAAAAACCACTGATGTAAGAATATCATCCACTTATAATAATTAACACTGCTCAATATTAATGTGACCCTTTCTAAATAACTTTTATATATTTGATATGAATAGAAGTAATCTTCACTTTAAAGTAACTGCATCCCTTAAGTAGGATGGCATTTGCAGATTAGGGTTATATTCTCCTGTTTTATAATTTCTTATTTTCTGCCTATTTTTCCTTTTTGAAGCAATTATAGTAGAAGAAGAAAAACAGTGTACTTTACAGCTAATAATAAAAAGCTTAAATTATATTATATATACACTGTCAATCATACTTCTACTAGCAAATTCAATATACAATCAATGGATTTATAAATTACAGGATGAGCAGTGTCTAAACATTATATTAATATTTCACGTAATGGATGTTATTCAGCCTGTGATCGGCGAACATTGAAATTTAAATCCGTCAATCAAATGACGTTCACCGGAAAGATTTTTATTCACTCCCTCCACCCATGGGCAGCCATGTGGGGCGACACGTCATTAGTGACGTAGGGGTACTCAAATTTAACCTGTCAATCCAATGACGTTTATCCAGGAGTCCCACCCCTTCTTCACCCCGCCTACTGCTGGTCACATGGGGCGATACGTCACGAATGACGCTAAGGTATTCCGGACACGTGACTTAATGACAAAGGAGGGAATTAACACCTGATTGGCTACAGGGGGGTTTAAAAGTCCCGGCTTTTTTGCGAGATAACTCTTAGCCCCTGACGAAGGTGTTCTAACACACCGAAACGCGCGTCGTGCGCTAGCTCGTTTTTATTATTTTCTCCCTATCACTTATTTGCTCACTTTAGGGACACATCTTACCACTATGGGTACTTAGACCCTTATAGGTTAATATATTTTCTTTTCTTTTTTACTTTATACAGTGCCGTCCATACAGCTAATGTGATGGCACATTAGGCAGCTTTTGTTTTCTGTTCTTCTTAGATTGAGCCACAGATTAGAACACCCTTCAAGGTGTTTGGAGGATATTAGGGACCAGTGTATAGCTTTTCTCTCATATGGACACAAAATGAGCTTGATTTTCCAGTTCCCTAATTTATATCTCCTTCTGGATATGACTCACAAGAAGTAGTTACTTTATTTGCATCACTGTTAATGATTGTAACATTGTATTTAGCCACACTTTGGCTCTTTACCGTTTGCTTTTTCTTTTGCTGTCAATGTGGATTTATGGGATTTTCTGTTTGCCGCTGGCGAATTGACCATAGCAATAAGTACTATTAGCTATTAGTAAGGCAACTAGCCACTGATAAAGGGAGACTCTTAATTGGTAAATTATGCTATTAGTCAGAATTTAATAAAGACAGTAGTCAGCTGATTACTCTGCATAAGTACCATTATACAAGTCATTAGGGAGCTTTCCTATCTCCCACCCTTTCCTCTTTTCCCATATATATATACACACATCACATTACTGTAAGGGTTAGTAGGTACAGACCTCCAAGTTGTTGAAACACATCACTCTGCCAGCATTCAATATTTTTCAATTTTTATATTTACTCGGGTACAAGCCCTTAGGTGGACTTGCACCACCTTCTGACCACAACTCTTGCCTGCTTTTTCTCAAATACCTTTTTGTTTTCCATCTATATAGGTTATTTGGGATTACTAGGCAAGTTATTCAGTTCCAATTTTATTGAACCCACTCCATCACAACGTTTCGACCTACACGGTCTTTGTCAAGCTACTAAGTGCATGTATACATTCATTTTTATTGGAATACAAGTTATTAACAATTAACAAGATCTCCATATCCAACCCCCAGTATAGCCACACTGATAGTAAAGTGCATAAGAATACAGTCATGCTTGCAATGTCACAACAGCGATAGCAAGTATGTCAAAACACATGGTGAAAACGTTACACGGCTTTCTAGAATACAATTTTATGTTATTACTGAAACTGGCTAGGCATACAGGTCTACACCCATATCAATAGGCATACAAGTCAACTAATATCGATTGCTAACTAATGAGTAACCAAGTGAGGGTAGGCATGTTCACATGCTTCAAAAATATAGTTTAAACAAACAAAACAATAGTACCATCTTCCCACGTCACTCCTCCAGTTGTGGAACCAATGTTTATTACTTTGCATGCTACAGTTTTTTGCTAAAGACAAATACAGTGCACTGAATCTCTTCTTATAACTTGGTGCGCACATTGGCTTACAAGTTGGGGTTCTCCTGGCAGGAGGCCCTCTCTAGATAGTCATCTACCAAGGTCTCCGACTCTTACTTTGAGGATTTGAGGATTACGGGTTGATGTTTGTTCAGAGGGATGCCGAAAGCTGCGGAAGTAGGGTAAAGTGTGTTCAAGTGGATTTAACAGTTTGAAATTCTAGACAAATGGGCTATATAGTGATATTTATGAACTTATTTTTTGGGGGGAGGTAACTCCAGTAGAAAACTATTAAGAGGAATTCCCATAAGAATTAACTAACCCAAAAAAATGGAAAAGTCCACTCTTAAATTAACAAATTTGCAAACATAATTACCATACAAATGTTTGTTACAATATATAATTCTACTGTAGATAATCTTTGATTTTATAAACTAAAGAAGAGTTACCTGCACACTATCCCAAATCCCTGTGCATATTTTAACAAATGGAGGTTTTTCGTTTCACTCCAATGGACATTAGGTGTAAGCTCACCTGCCACGTCAAGGCAAACCTGTTAGGTGAGTAGATGTAGATGTAGTGCCTAGGATGTCCTTAGACATAATAACCAAAATGCCCAGGATGCTAGGTACTGTTGTGGGGAGAGTCTCTGGGTATGAAGAACTAAAAAACCTAAACTTCTGAAGTGAAGCCGAGCCCCTATTAGAGGGGTGCAGCTCCAGCAAAATAGTGCCAGCTAGTTATCATTAATAGAGCCAAAAACATGGTAGATAAAGGAAATTAATACAAGATACATAAGGGGCCAAAAATAATAAAAAGTAGAAATGGACAAAATAATAGTAATAATCTTACATACAAGTAAAAAGCTTTGTGTATAGGCACATAAAACAGCTTAAAAACATTAAAATAGAAGCTAGCAAAAACAGAAAGTATGACAAGAATAATGGGTATTAAACAGTGATATGGAAAATATAATATAAGAACAAAATCTTTATCATTTTAAATGATTGACCACTTCTTTGCCATGGACTTCTATTAATTTATAAATCTATGGTTTTGTCTGTAGCCTCTAAAGCGCTGGGGAGCCTAATTGAACGACACACATACAATGCTGGTTCAGAAAGACTACGATTTATTTGTATCACAGATCAGTATATGAAATGAGTGTTATACATGTCATGTATAACACTCATTTCATATACTGATCTGTGATACAAATAAATCGTAGTCTTTCTGAACCAGCATTGTATGTGTGTCGTTCAATTAGGCTCCCCAGCGCTTTAGAGGCTACAGACAAAACCATAGATTTATAAATTAATAGAAGTCCATGGCAAAGAAGTGGTCAATCATTTAAAATGATAAAGATTTTGTTCTTATATTATATTGGATCATCCATAATGGTACTAACACATACGTCCTTAAAGGAGCTTAAAGGAATAGGAGGGGTAGAGAGACACTCACATTCTTGCAGTTTACAGGATATAGGGGGAAGGTAAATAAAGTACTAATTGTATATATAAGATATATCTTCACAAGTTTTGCATAGATTGTCATGCTGAATAATATGCACAGGGCACTTTAAGATGTATTGTTGGTTTGGTCTCGAACTAAATCGAGTAACGGGTTAAGGATGTAAACAGAAATAATTATTATATATTGTGTCCTGACTTGTATTTGGACCTGTTTTCGGAAAATAAAGAAAAAGATTAAATTAAAAAAAAAAAAAAAAAAGAGTACTAATTGATGGTTACTGCTATACAAAGAAAGAATATATTTTTGATGAAAAGGAAGAGGAGGTTCCCAGCATCCCAGCCTATCACATGACATATCACTGGAAAGCCCAGTATGTCCTCTT